TTTAGGCTGACAATATTAGGTAGAATCTGTTTCATTCTCCCACAAATGACCTTAGCAATAATCTTATAGAGGACATTGCAGCATGCTATAGGTCTAAGATCTGCGGGGCTCTTTGGGTCATCATTTTTGGGGATAACTACAAGGTTAGTGGCATTTATCTGCTTTATAGTATCCCCCTTATTAAAGAACTCTTGTATAGCAGAAGTCACAAGTCCTCCCACTTGTTTCCATTGATTCTTAAAAAAACCACTATTGTATCCATCACGCCCCGGGCTTTTACTATTCGGGATGCCAAACAAACTCTTCTTGATCTCTTCAGGGGTAACTGGGGAGATTAGTAGTAGTTGCTGATTAATGGAAAGACATGCCCCCATATTAACTATATCCATTTGTCAAGAGTTGCTACAATGGAAGTATGGAATTCAAGTCCATTTGTCAAAATTTGTGACTTGCGAGATAGAAGTCACATTTTTTTTAATACTCCCTCCGTCCAACAATAAAGTTCCCACTTTCCTTTTTAGGATGTCCACAATTAATGTTCCCATTTCTATTTTAGGCAATAAATTTAAAGTGAAAAGTCTTTTATACCCCTCTCACTTTCACTCACATCACATACCCCACTACCCACCTTAATTAATTCAACCCCCCACATTAAACCCCACCCACTCACATCCACTCATTATTCTATCTCCTCGTTATCTCCTCTCTTCTTCAACACCTCGTTTTCTCCTCCAACTAGCTCATTCAATTTTCTCTCGTTCACTCTCTTAGATCCAGATCTTGGATCTCTGATCTTCGTCCTCCCAACTCTTAAGTTGCTCTCTCCTGTACCCAATTCGTATGGAGTCTGAAGATTATCCTCTTGTTTCTATAGTCTCAGACACTCCAATCGTCTGCGCCAGTGATGGGAATCAGGAGATCGAGCAACTTTCCCCAAATTGCCATGGCGATGAAGGTGAGATTGTGGCAGCCGTGGTGCTTGATTCCGAGGAAGAAGACGAACCATCTGCAGCTTTGATGGCCCCAAGCTCTGAAATTTTTTGTTTTTGGGGGGGACTTTGAATTTTTGATAAAATTTGGCATTTGGAATACCGTGTAACCTTGTGTACTTGTTGGGATTTTTTTAAGTTTTTGTGGTTGTGATTTGGAGTAGTAGTTTAACTTTAT